GGACTTAGGATGTTTTTACTTGGACTGTAATTCGTCCCAGATCAGATCAGACCAGACCAGACCAGACTTGGATAGTTATAAAAATACAAAGATACCAGACCAGACCAGACCAGTTCAGACCAGACCAGACCAGATCAGACCAGACCAGACCAGACCAGCAAATTACAGTCCAAGTAAAAACATCCTTAATGAAACTTATGGAGGTAAGTGCCCACGCTTCTCATAATGAAAAATAGTACTATCTTCGTCCCTTAAAATTTTGCCAAGTTTTACCGGCACGAGGATTAATAAAGTAAAAACTATGTGGTTGAAGTTTGTGCAGAGAAGAGAGAATTAACTAGAACTACAAATTCTTTACTTAAAAGGGAAAGTGACAAATTTAGTGAGACATCAAAAAAAAAGAGTTGACAAAATTTTAAGGGACGGATGAGAGTACTAAGCATTAGTACTCCGTAGATTGACTATGCCCCTGCTCCTAAATGCTTGATTAGAGAGTGAAAATCTAGACATGATGACTTCTATGGCAGCATATATGTGTGACTACTATTTTAAAAACTTATACAAGGAACCGTGCATGACGTCTTATTTGACAGGAGAAAGATGGATGGATGAGATATTAAATGGCCATGGAAAACGATGTTTTAATGCGTTTAGAATGACTCAAAATACATTTCGCAATTTATGTGCGGATTTAGAGACCAAGTATGGTTTGAGGCCCTCAAGTAGGGTTTCAGTTTTGGAGAAAGTGGGTTTGTTCGTTTATGTACTAAGTAAGAGTGCTTCCAATAGAGATACCCAAGAACGTTTCCAACATTCGGGTGAAACTGTGAGTAGAATTTTCAAAGAAGTTTTGAATGCCATGGATGAACTTTGTCGTGACATACTCGTCCCAAAGGACCCCGACTTCAAACGAATTCCCTCACAAATTGCCAATGATGATAGATATATGCCACATTTCAAGGTAAATACCAAAAGTGATTAAACATGATAATATATTAATTATGAAGTGAGAATATTAATATAATCATATTTATTGAATTATTATATTGAATTTTTATATTAGGATTGTATTGGAGCTATTGATGGTACACACATTGTAATAACCGTACCTGAGGAAGATCAAATACGCTATCGAGGAAGAAAGGGAATACCAACCACGAATGTTCTAACAGTTTGTGACTTTGATTTGCTATTCACATATGTTCTAACAGGATGGGAGGGATCAGCACATGATTCACGCATATTCTTAGACACATTGAACAATCCAAACCTTAATTTTCCAAATCCACCTCCCGGTATCTCACTAATTTTTTTTACATAGCATATATCATTTAATTTACAATTTTAATTTTACCTATACTTGTTGCTTTTATTTTCTTAGGAAAGTATTACTTGGTTGACAAAGGCTATCCAGAAAGATATGGATACTTGACTCCGTACCCTATGACACGATACCATCAATCAGAGTTTCGTGGATCAAGACCAAGAGGTTCACGAGAAGTATTTAATCGAGCGCATTCATCCTTAAGAAGTTGTATTGAGAGAGCGTTTGGTGTTCTTAAGGCTCGCTGGAAGATATTACAAAAAATGCCAAATTATTCATTGGTGGATCAAAACAGAATTATATGTTCATGTTTTGCATTACACAACTACATAAGAAAAAGCAAACTTGATCCGGCTTTTGATTTCATTGATGAAGATCCTGAATTTATACCCCCTGACGTTATTCCAGATGTTCAAGCTAGTACTACACAAGTTGATGATGGAATGAGAAATCATCAGATGACGATCATTCGTGATAGCATTGCTTCTAGTTTGATGTCATAGGGATTTTATTCTTAATATTACAAATATTGCAATTCACCGTATTACTTTTTTAAGAATTGTATTACTTCTTAATATTGTGTAGTTAATTGATGCATTTTATTGTCATAATTTTATCTAGTTAATTTTAAAATAATTTACTCGTATATATTATGTACATATAAATTAGTATAGTCATAACTTCGTATTAAACAAAACAAAAAAACATGCAAAATTATTAAAATGTCCTTTTTTGTCTTTTTACATATTATCCGCTACAAGCAAACAGCTAAGTTACCAAACATCTTTCTGCAACCCGTCAAGCAAATCCGCTGGTCAAATCCGTTGATCCAATCCGCCATTTACTACCCGCTAACCAAATCCGCTAACCGCTAACCGCTAACCGCTGAGTGCCAAACATGGCCACTACTTTTGAATCGATAAAGTAAAGTAAGAATGATTTAAAATCATATCAATTTTATCAAATTTGATATGAGATAATTTTAGTGGAACAAACCAAAAAGGAAACTGATTATGAGTATATCATAGGATCTTTAGAGGATAATTCATACACCACACCTAGTGGAGGACTTAGGATGTTTTTACTTGGACTGTAATTCGTCCCAGATCAGATCAGACCAGACCAGACCAGACTTGGATAGTTATAAAAATACAAAGATACCAGACCAGACCAGACCAGACCAGTTCAGAACAGACCAGACCAGACCAGATCAGACCAGACCAGACCAGACCAGACCAGCAAATTACAGTCCAAGTAAAAACATCCTTAATGAAACTTATGGAGGTAAGTGCCCACGCTTCTCATAATGAAAAATAGTACTATCTCCGTCCCTTAAAATTTTGCCAAGTTTTACCGGCACGAGGATTAATAAAGTAAAAACTATGTGGTTGAAGTTTGTGCAGAGAAGAGAGAATTAACTAGAACTACAAATTCTTTACTTAAAAGGGAAAGTGACAAATTTAGTGAGACATCAAAAAAAAAAAAAGTTGACAAAATTTTAAGGGACGGATGAGAGTACTAAGCATTAGTACTCCGTAGATTGACTATGCCCCTGCTCCTAAATGCTTGATTAGTACCGAGTCTTAGATGAGTTTTTAGACTCATATATATGGCATAGAAAAAAGGGAAAAATAATAAAAATACCCCAAACTTTGAAAGGGTGTGAGGTAAATACCTCAAACTTGCATATGTAATTTAAATACTCTAAACTTTAAATAAAAAGTTATTTTTGCACCATTGTCATGTATTATTTCTTTCAAAAATGTAAATTTATGAGGTTAATTGCATAATTTAAAATAGAAAATTAAAAATGTTGCAATTATATAGATTGGGATAACATTATTTATTTTCTAATGCAAGCTTAAAATGTTAATTGTGTCTTTATGGATTCTAAATTATTTTAAATCATGCAATTAATACTATAAATTTTACATTTTTGAAAGAAATAATAGTTATTATGGTGCTAAAATAACTTTTTATATAAATTTTGGGGTATTTAAATTATATAAGCAAGTTTGGGGTTATAATTTCACACTAGACAGATAAAGTAACAAAGCTAGACTTCTAGAGGGAGAAAGTGTACTCAATTCAATATAGTAGCGATAACAAAAAAATTCAAACCCTAGAGAATACTCACTCAGTTCTTTTTTTGTTGGAACGGTCAACATTTCACATTTGTCAACGCACCGCTTTGACCGCAATTATATCTTAATTCTATTAGTAAAAAAATATTAAAAATCAGATTTTGAAAATTTGTAATGAGATGAATTGAACAATATTTTCAAAAAAAAATATTTTTCATAAAATAATAGTGTAAAATGTAGTCAAAGTAGAGCATGTGATTAGTGTAAAATTTAACATGTTGCGATTAAAACGGAACGGAAGATGGTATACGTAGAGAAGCTCTCTATATGATACAATGAAGCAGCTATATGCCTATATGAAGAAGACATCGTGGCCTTCGTGGGCTCATTTAATATCATGAGCCATAACTAAAGTATCTAAGTAAGACCTAATACTCAATTATTTTTAGCCTAATAAACATAATTAAAGTATATACTTGTATATTTAGAGATATACCAAAATAATATTGAATCACACAAACGTATATGAATGTCATTTGAGAAAAAAATATTAACAACCCTTTTGGTAATGTTGTCTTTCAGTTTATCAGTCTTATCAATCAAAGTTTTACCTAACATATAATTTTTGACTCAACGCACCAAATTAATTAATACCCCATAATCAAATAAATAAGCAGGAGTTACTTTTTTATCCAAATTAACTAAAGTTATTGTAGAACATCATTTTAGCTATTTTAATAAAATATATTTTAAATATATTGCTTTCTTAGTTCATCAGATCATCCGATTAAGCTAAAATTTCATACGAGTAATATTCAGTAGATTCAGCCACTTTTAATATTATCAAGCTGGGTGTAAAATTCGTATAAAAAAACAAACTGCCTTTGCAAGTGTTCCATATTTTTGTAGTAGTATTATTTTCTGAATTCATAAATGGTACTCCAACTAAAAGTTTGCAATTCAAAGTACTATTGAAATAAAATTTATTAACAAAAATATAGTTGAAGTTAATATGAGTAGTGTAACACCGCCCCCGAGTATTTGTACTGTACCAAATTATGTATTGAACCTTGAGAAATGTATAAAAGCATTTTTACGTGATTGTAAATTTTTATCATTTCTATTACGTGAATAGTAAAATTCACGTGGGGCCCACACCGGATGTGGGGCCGCCCGATATTATCGGGACCACATATTATATTAATCTTGGACTAGATAATATGTATATGGTGGTGGATATCCTAATTGGGCCATGACAATGGCACAAGGTTGACCAGTTGGTCAAACGGGCCAAATTATCGGTATCGACAATTTATCAGATAACAGCCCAAAAAGGGATTCCGAGAACCTATAAATTAAAGTTGGGGATTTCATAATGATTCTAAGGCCCAATAAGGATTGGGAACGAGTGTTATATTTTATTTGACCCGATAAAATAAAATATACTTAAAACAGTCCGGAAAATACAACTTTCGGGACCGATTGTACACTCGGGTACACAAAGGGTTGACCTCCCACATGAGTGGGGGCCAATCCACGTCCTTGGTCTGGAAAATAGCAAGGGGAGCCGCATCATGGAGCTGAGAATTGGCTGGGGAAGTGATTGGGAGACCAATCAATATGAGGGTGGGACCTTTGCCATATGATTTGGTGAGAAATGCCAAAATGGCATCCTCAATCACCCCTCACCCCATATGCTCGGTTCAATCATCCAAGGAAGGGAGAGAAACTCTGAAAATACTCCATTTCCTCATCCTTTCACGCACCAAGAACAAAGGAGGAAGAAGGAGGGGAAAAGAGAAGAGAAAAGGTTGTTTTGGAGAGGAAAACTTGTGTTTAGCAAGGTAAGGACTCCATTAACCCCATTTCGTTTTCTTTAATCATCTTATATGATTATTCAATCATATTTCACACCCTAGGATTGTTCTACACGTTGGGATGTGTAGGAAGAGGGGTTGGAAGGTGGTTCTAAGTCCAAGAACGGACTTAGAAGCCAAAGGACCGGTTCGCCGGAAAATAACCTTTTGAAGGTTATTTATGTTACTATGGGTTTTATGATGATAAAACCTTGTTAGTAACTTGTCTAAGGTATTCAAGGAACTTTCACGGAGTTGAAAAGGTCGCCGGAGTTGTCGCCGGAGTTCGTTGAAGTTCGCCGGAGTTTCGTCGGAGCTAAATCGGGAAGGCTAGAACTTCATAAGCTTCATTAAGGTGAGAAGACGGCTTTATGCTTTATAACTTTTGCGTGAGGCATGAGATTACCTAAATTAATCAGGAATATGTTTTGTGGAATGATTAAAGATAACCAAGTGTGTGTTTATGCCATGATTATACACAAAACATAGTTAAAAAGCATGTTATGTAGGTTTGGTGATTAAAAATGTGATAACATATTTTGTGTGATGATCCAGGGATCCAAAATGGTATTTTTGGATCAAGGACATCAAGACGTATATGTGTATAAAATTTCAAGTTAATCGGACTCCGTTTGGGGGGTCAAAAGGGGCGTTGACCGCCAAGTCAACTGCCATACCCGATCGGGTATTGACACATATCCGACCGGGTATTTGTTGAAAATCTGCTTTGTGGACTACTGTCTCCTGTACTCGACCGAGTATGGGTTAATACTCGATCGAGTATTGGGTTATGCTCAAAACGGGCAGTTTTGAGTAGGTTAACGTGGGCCGTTCGGGTGGGACCCGCCCACGTTGGATCCTAAGGATTGTTATATGACTATAGGGCTAGGCATTGTCCATAGTTAAAGGAATGAAAGGTTAGCCATATCCAGGTTAGGATTTGGTAGAGAATAGACTGGGGATTGAGTGCCCTTGGACGGTAAATGATCCAGAATACTCCAGGTGGGGTCGAGTACCCTTGGACGGTAAATGATCCAGAATACTCCAGGTGGGGTCGAGTACCCTTGGACGGTAAATGATCCAGAATACTCCAGGTGGGGTCGAGTACCCTTGGACGGTAAATGATCCAGAATACTCCAGGTGGGGTCGAGTACCCTTGGACGGTAAATGATCCAGAATACTCCAGGTGGGGTCGAGTACCCTTGGACGGTAAATGATCCAGAATACTCCAGGTGGGGTCGAGTACCCTTGGACGGTAAATGATCCAGAATACTCCAGGTGGGGTCGAGTACCCTTGGACGGTAAATGATCCAGAATACTCCAGGTGGGGCCGAGTACCATTGGACGGTAAATGATCTTAAATACTCTAGGATGGGTTGAGTGCCTTGGACGGTAAATGATCCTAAAACACTCGGTAGTATGAATCAAAGGTAGACTATAGCTTGTGAGCTAGGTAACCGGGAAAGGAGTGAGAAAAGTCAGGTAAGAACTTTATCTCTAAAAGACTCTTTAAGGTAAATGACCTACGGGTTGAGTATTTTACGAGTATATATATATATACAGTATGTATCATCGGGTGGATGAGGGACATCTATATGTATATATCACCCTATTTTTGGGTCTCGTGTCTGAAACATTAGTTATTCTTCATATAGCCTGCTTGTCACTAGTACTTCTATGGAGTACTGACCCCTCCGGGGGCCCTCACATTTTTCAGGTTGAGGCTAGAGTCCTATTACCTGCACCTTTGCCTAGGGTGACCATTCGAGGAGGAAGACGTGGTTCGTGCTTCCATTCATATTTCAAATGTATAAACTGCTCATGGATTTTTGAACAATGTTTTCATTAAAACAGTTGGGGGCCTGCGTGCCCGTGTTTGCCACGTGTGGCTAAGTATCAAACATTTTATTATTTTCCGCATTTGTTTGATTATGATATTGATGTTGATTGTATGTGTTTACTAATCGGTTTGGCAATAGAATCAATCGGACGCCTTGTACAACTCAATGGGGATGAACTGTTGTTGTTCTTATCGGGTTGTACGGCGGTTGTCTACGTGGCTCGAACGCGGTCCGGGGCGTGACAAGTAGAGCCGGCCTGATAGTCATGGAAGTGTAATAACTGAGCATTGATCAATTCCTATAATTAAAATTACTAGTCCAGTATTCGATCTACTACATTTAAAAAATCACATTTTCACAGAAAATTTTTATTTTGATTATATGTGACTAGAGGAGGGTTCTTGTGATACGTCTTGGAACTTCTAATAATGAATATTTTAAACTCAACTTTTCATTTATTATAAGCATCGATTAAGCTCATATCGATAATTATCTTAAATTCAAATGGTGTTTTCTCTACTAATACTAAATAATTTAAAAATGTGACGGTGTTAATCTTTATCTTTACATCTTTATAAAGGTCACTTTTTATTAATAAATACTCATTACTTCTGCATGTTAAGTAATAAGGTGTAGTACCTTGTGTTATTCCGAGTGTTCCATTGAATTGTCATTCTATAATTTACGGAGTATAGACTTCCGGGTGATTTCTAGAAATACGGGAAAAGCCAATATCAAAAATACGGGAGTATGTCTAGGTTTTCTAAGAAAGTGGGATTCGAAAAGGGGGCTTCGATTAGGATGATTAACTGATTAAGTTGGGTGGGAGGGGTTGAAAAAAATGTAAAATCCCATTTATTTATTGAGAGATGTAACTTATTTAATTTTACTCCGAATTTTACCAAAAATATATCAAAATTCATAATTTTTAATTACCTTTCAAATGACATCAATATTTCATATATAAAGTTTAATTTCTTTTTTAAAATTTCATCTGTAGAAAATTTTTAAGATCCAAAATTTTTCACAAATACATTCAATTGCTTAAATCAAGATTTCATTGTTAAAGTAACTTTTTTACATGTTTCAATTATTTTGAAATTGAGATTTTAATTTTAGCTTTTGGGCCTAATTAAGAAAAATTTTGAATTTGAAAACCTGGTACAGTCGAAACTTTATTTTTTAAAAAAGAACTTTATATATGCATTACTAGTGTCATATGAAAGATAATAAAAAATTATAAGTTTTGATATATTTTTAGTAAAAATTGAAACACATATAAAAAAGTGAGTTAGATACAAGTTAATGTGAGTTAGATACAAGTTAATGTGCATTAAATAAATGAATTGTGTGTCATATACCGGTTCATATGCATTACACATTCGAGGTTGTATGCTATATATCGGTTATTGTGCATGACATAACTAGGCCCGGCCCAGCCCAGGTGCAACTGGAGCAGCTGCACAGGGACCCCAATTTTGAAGGGCCCCCATTTTTTAAGTCTAGTATTATACCTAGGCCCATTAGTAGAGTAATAATATGAAAAAAGAGTAAAAGAGTCCGTCAGTCCGATCCAAACTTACTAACGCCGTGCGTATTGCTCAAGTCTTCGACTCTTCAGCTGCGTCTTCTGCGTCTTCGACTCTTCATGAATGCGTACTCGAACTGTCGAACAAATGGAGAAATCGAAGCGATGAAGACTGCGATTTTCGAGGAGACCAGCGATTTGAGGGATTTTCGAACAATCAACAGTCGAACAAAGGTATGAAATTTCATCAATTTATTCTTTTTACCGTTAGGTTTTAATGTTAAATATCTTCGATTCTTAGATTCTTCTTATTTTCGAATGGTCTGCTTTCGAGTTTCCCCCTTCTGTGATTCACTCATTATGTGCTCCAGCTCCGTGGTATGTGTCTGCACCAGGAAAGCCGGAGCAAGGGCAAGGGTCAAGGGCCCAAGGCTTCAAGCTTTCAGTCTGCTGGACGCCTAGACTGCTGCCTGCGAGTTATCAAGGCATCAAGATTCAAGTGGGCACTGGCTAATTGGCTATTCTGTTAATCTGTTTCAGTTTCACAGTTACAGGACTTCACTCATCAGTCATCACTTCTTCAGCCTTCATGTGTTTTTGTTCTTATTCATACTTTTTAATTGTTAATTTGGGTTCATCTACATCTTATAAATTACAATTTAGAAATTGATATTTGAAAATGCCTCCTAGAATTAGAAAATATGAATCTGGATATGAAAAACGAATGAAGAAAAAAAAACATATGAGTTTATTTTATCTCAAAAAGGAGCATTAGAAAAAATTGTTACAAGAGAACCACAAAGTGTTGTTCCGAATGAACATGTCTGTGCTAGCAGTGGTGTTGATGTTGATGATATTGTTGGTGCAACTGATAATGATGTTGATGTTGATGATTGTGTTGGTGCAAATGTTAATGTTGTTGATGATGATCTTGGTGCAACTGCTAATTTTAATGTTGATGGCATTGTTAATTCTAGCTGTGGATTTGATGATAATGTTGTTGCTAATGATGCTTTTGATGGCTAGTGTATTCAAAGGAACTTGATAAAGTTTCCTGTTTTTGCTGTAAAGTATTTAAAAAGGGAATTGGTCGAAATCAATTAGGGAATGAGGGATTTGGAGATTGGACACATGTTACCACTAGGCTTAGAGAACATGAATGTAGTGTTGAACATCTTAAAAATATGACTACATGGTATGATTTGCGTTTAAGATTGCAGAAAAATCAAACGATTGATAAAACTTCTCAAAAACTTTTTTAAAAAGAAAAAGAGCATTGGAGAAAGATGTTGTAGAGAATTGTTTCAGTGGTGAAATTTCTTGCTAAACACAATCTTGCGTTGGTCATAACTGGCCTTCATTCCAAATGTAGAGGGAGTAGAAGCGCAATGTCTGAGAAATGTCTCATAATGACTTCTTTAGCACTGCTACTTTGTCACCCGAGTTCAACCATTAGATGTTTCAAACCAAAGCCAAAGCCAAGTGTCGTTTCTCCTAAAAGAGAAATGCACAAGCCTCCTCCTCCAAAGAACAATCAGAACCCTAAACCCCAAGAGTGTTTAGATTCCCATACTAAACGGGTTCTTTCTTTTCCAATGAACAAAGAGATTCAACTATTAGAAGAGCTCACCGGAGGGGATCCCACATTGAGCGTTGTGGAGGCAGTTTTTCAGGCAGGGTGGAAGAATAGTGTTGGGTACAAAATCCAAAAGGTTTTTAGAGTGAATCAAAGTGAAGAAGTTTACAAGAGGTTTGAAGAGTATAGAACGATGGTGAAGTCAAAGAGAACAGAGAGTGGAGTGGGAGACGATGGGCATGAGGTTTTGAGGTTCAGAGGCACTGCCATTACTTGCTCATTAGGGTTAGATCAATTCTCGAAGACCTGTAAGAGGAGGAGTTGTGGGGGTTGTAGAATCATCACAGGCCGTAATTATAAGAGTGATGATGTAGCAACAATGGAGGGGTCATCGATAACGCTTTCTAAGACTAGTTGGAGAGCGCATAGAAGAGTTGAGAAATGCAGCCGTGAAACCACCAGGGCAGCCATCGTGGTGTGCAGAGTTATTGCTGGCCGGGTTGCTCATTACTGCAATAACAGAAATATTATAGTAAGCATGGAAGAAGAAATTGAAAGTTTCGATTCCGTGGAGTATATGGATGGTTCTGAGAAGCTAATGGTTTTGGATTCAAGAGCTATATTGCCATGCTTTTTGGTTTTGTATAACCTTTAGCCAATTTGACGCACTATGAGGTTCTTCTGTTTCACGTTTTTAATACATTGGTCAAAACATGCCAATATCAAAAAAAATGTGGTGGCGGTTTCATAAATATTCTGCCAATGTGAAAAAATGCTATATACAAACTTCATAGACCATCACATTGGATTAAAAGTATTGCTCAAATTGCTCTCACGTTAAACATTGTTCTCATTTGATAAAAAAAACAATCTTGCGTTTCGTGGTATGAATGATGTTAGTACCCAATTTTGATAGATTTTGATGATGTCACTATACTTAGCACGTGTACATTGTGTCTCAATATTGTTCGTGTGTCAGCATTCAAAATTACGTGACAAAATAAAATGTACAAGTTTTGAGTCAATTTGAATATTACCGGAAAAGTTAAAAATGCAATAAGGTAATTTTTATTTACCTTAATAGGATATTTAGATCCTACCGGTATATATTATTTTAGCTTAAAAGTTAACTGAATGTCACATTATTAAAAAAATGGTCGGAAAATCAAATACATTGAATGTAAATGATTGAAGACAAAAATTGACTAGGCAATTAATACATGGGACCGGAGCATAGGACGCATATATTATTATTACAAGAAGATTTTCCGAAGACATGCTTCAGCGGCTCAGATACTCAAGACAAAGAAATCATCCCTAATAAATGCTCCAGCACAAGAAGACGAATGTACAATTCGTCCTTGCAAGAATTTCAACGTCAGAGATTAAATCATCCTAACCAACGGATGAGATTAATCCAAAGGAGAAGCCTATAAATATAGACTGAAACGAAAATTTCTAACCAAGCTTTGAGCATCCAAAGTAGAGAAATACTCACACAAGCATTCACGAACTATCTAGCAAAAGAGAAAGTGCTATTCTAAACTTTACTCTCTGCTTGGACTCATGCTTCACTAAACTTCCAGTTTACAAGCTATTCATTGCTAAATCATAGAAGTTTAGTTCCTAGTTGAAGGTTAGAACTTTCTTGTAACATTTCACAAGTTGTTGTAAACACTTAGGAGAACAGTTGTTCAGATCCTAAAGTGTAAGTAGATAGATAGAGTGCCTTTTGATCCCCACTGGTTCATTAGAGAAAAGTCTAAGGACTGAGTAACTTTGAGTGGTGCTATACTCATTGTGAAAAACCTTCAATCTAGGTCTAAGTGTTGTAAAGGCTAGATTGGCACTAAGTGTATTGGGTTTAATACATTAGTGAAATCCATCTGAAAGATGGTGGGACTGGACGTAGGAGGATTACACCACCTCTGAACTAGGATACACTGTGTGTTGATTTACATTCATTCAACAAAGCACACACTTAGCACTTCTTACAAAAAGATTAAAGTTTGCCAGCAGAATCCTAAGCAGTTGTCTTAACTGACCCAACTGCTTATCCTACTACTAAATTACTTACTTTCTTTGAGACCATTTTCACACAAGAGACGCACATCAATATCACTAAAAGGCATGTCCAATCATTTTCCAGAAATTCATTCTCTAAGTATAGTAGGTGCCTCGGCAGACCTCTGCTCGTATACGCTTGTTTCTCTTGAGCATCTCAATATCACCGGACCTTCATAACATTACCAACGAGGAAGTTGACCAAACTGCTCTCTGAAATTCACCCTCTAAACTAAGCAGGTACCTCAGCAGTGCCCTCATCACCACTCAACTGCTGAGACCACTGCTTCAGTAAAACTCCTGATTACTTTTACTAAAGCACATTTTCTGAAAGCTCTCATTATTCTCAGCAACATTCGATCATCACTTTCATCAAATACCCAATAAATCCTCAGCAGTTGCCTTAGCAGTTCCCTGCTATCTAGCCAACTGCCAAGCCAACTGCCAGACATTTGGGTTCAATCTTCCACCAGGACAGAAAGTATTCATACACTGATTCCATAAAGGGTAAAGACTTCCGCTGTGCGTATATAAATCTTTCAAAAGATTATAGATCAACTCTTTAGAGGGAGAAACGCTTTAAAATTGAAAAAGATTTAAAAGTCTATTCACCCCCCTCTAGACTTTTACCCTATCCAGGACCATCAAGTGGTATCAGAGCGGAGTGTTCCTAGAGTCATTTGCTGACCATTTTGAACTAAAGATCCAAAGCCACTTCCCCTCCCAAACACTTTCTAACAATGGACAGTCAACTAGCCAAGAATCCCCTGTTCAACTTAAACAAATTTGATGATTGGAAAATCAGGATGAAAGCATATCTTAGTGCTTTGCATAATGAAATGCTTGAAGTAATTACTGCTGGACCTATCAGAATAATGAAGGTCAGCACGTCCAAAGCTGACGACCAGTAGGATATATACATTCCTAAACCAAAATTGGAATGGACATCTGAGGATAGGAAGATGAATAATCTTGACAACATTGCCAAAGATATTTTCTTTATGTAACACCGCCCCAAGTATTTGTACTTTATCAAATTATGTATTGAACCCTGAGAAATGAATAAAAGCATTTTTACACGATTGTAAATTTTTACCATTTCTTTTATGTGAATAGTAAAATTCACGTGGGACCCACACCGGAAGTGGGGGCCGCCCGGTACTGTCGGGACCGCATATTAAATTAATCTTGACCTAGATAATATGTATATGGTGGTGGATATCCTAATTGGGCCATGGCAATGGCATAGGGTTGACCCGTTGGTCAGACGGGGCCAAATTATCAGTATCGGCAATTTATCAGATAATAGCCCGAAAAGGGATTTCGGAGACTTCTAAATTAAAGTTGAGGAGTACATATTTCTTCTAAGGTCCAATAAGGATTGGGAACAAGTGTTATATTTTATTGGACCCGATAAAATAAAATGTAATTAAAACAGTCCGGAAAATTCAACTTTCGGGGCCGAGTGTACGCATCGGGACACAAAGGGGTGACCTCCCACATGTGTGGGGGCCAACCCACGACTTTTAGTTGTGCGGTTGACAAGGGGAGTCCCACGTGTCATGATTGTGAGAAATGCCAAGAAGGCATTCTCAATAACACCAACTCACCCCTTTCGTATCAAGCATCAACCAAGTGATAGAAGCTCTGCATATAATCCATTTTCATCCACCATTTTCGCACAAAGCAAGGGGAGGAAGAAGGAAGGGAAAAGAGAAGAGAAAAGGGGAGGATAGGGAGGAAAACTTGAGATTTACAAGGTAATGACTCCATTAATCCCATTTCTTGTTCCTAAATCATATTATATGATTATACAATCATAATTCACACCCTAGGATTGTTCTACACGCTTGGAAGTGTAGAATGATGGATTGGAAGGTAGTTCTAAGTCCAAGAACGGACTTAGAAGCCAAAGTGACCGGTTCGCCGAAAAATAACCTTTTAGAGGTTATTTGTATTGATATAGGTTTTATGATGATAAAACCTTGTTATTAACTCATATAAGGTATTTCAAGAACTTTCACGGAGTTGAAAGGGGCACCGGAGTTGTCGCCGGAGTTCGTTGAAGTTCGCCGGAGTTTCGCCGGAGCTCAATAAGGAAGGCTAGAACTTCATAAGCTTCATTTAAGGTGAGAAGACGTCTTTATGCTTTATAACTTTTGCGTGAGGCCTGAGATTAC